GTTTGCATACCACACATGTATTATGCGCACAAAACCCCGATCCGGTCCTAGATTATTCAGTTCCCCTGTCATTTCTTCTACTAACTCTCCTGCAATTTGGGATAATTGCCAGAACTGAAGCATCTCGGTCCAAACAGCCAAACCAGAAAAATTCTACCATTTATCTCACTTTCCAAGTCACCTACATTAGTCTAGAGTCTGAAATTCTCCCATCAGTTCCCCTGCAATTCTATCTTTTAGTGAACAGACCTGTTATTTTGAAAATAGTGTGGAGAAATAATTTCTGTAACACAAGAATGTATATGTGGGTGGGGCATGTTGATGGGATGGGTGGGGCATGTTGATGGGTGGGGCATGTTGATGGGTGGGGCTTGTATATAGGTGAAGCATAAGGGGGTCTCATCATCTCGTATTGCCCGGGGGGGCTCCTTGTGTTGTCAGTCCACCCCTGATGTGGATTTAGCTAAGCAGATAGGTCAGAGCCTTCCATTGGATACGTGTTATGTGCTGGGATTGCTTCAGTAGGTCAGGTCTAAGTTCAGCAACCTTATGTCCCCAAAAAATGAGGTCAGCTCACATGGATTGGTCACCACAGAGTCCAGACCTTAACCCCATTAAGAATCTTTGGGATGTTCTGAAGAAGATTTTACGCAGAGGTGCGACTCTCCCATCATCACTACAAGATCTTGGGGGTAAATTAATACAACTCTGGATGGAAATAAATGTTGTGACATTGGATAAGCTGATAGAAATGATGCCACAGCCAATGCGTGCCGTAATCAAAGCTAAAGGTTGCCCAGGAAAATATTAGAGTGTGTGACTTTTGGTTTGGCCGGGCCGTGTATATTGAATGAGAGTTTTGAATCTTCACATTGTGCTGATCAGCAGCTACGGAAACACTTGAGGTTATGGCTGCTCGGGGAGGTTCTACCGCTTCCCAGCACAGGCTGATGTGTGAAGATCAATCAAGATGAGAAATGGCTTCTTGTAGGTTTGTGCACTGTATAAAAGAAAAAATTATAATGAATGCACACTTCTTCATAAAAGAAAACAAAATTATAAATAAATATTCCTTCATAAAAGAAAAAAATAAGTAAATGAACACTTCTTTATAAAAGAAAAAAATAAACACTTCCTTATTAGAAGAAAAAAGAAAAAAATGCACACTTCTTCATAAAAGTAATAAATAAATAAATACTTCTTCATAAAAAGAAAAAAATAATAATGAATGCACGCTTCTTCTTAAAAGAAAAAATAAATAATTAAATACTCCTTTATAAAAGAAAAAACAATAACTGCAGACTGATTCATAAAATACATGTTTAAGGCGTTTTAATAAAAGGCGCTGTACAACTTACTGCACTCCAGGGAGATTATTGCGCCTGGAGTTGGGCGGTCCTTGTACTCCGGCCACGTGAGTGTGCCCAGACCAGAGGGCAGCATCTTGGGAAAATGATAAAATAGGACTTCCCTTCCTGAGACCGCCCGCGTCTCTACGATTAAGCCCTAACGGGTGAAATGCGTTAGTGCGAGCGGCCTCTAGGCAAGGAGTCCCATTGTACTGGACCTCTATAGCCTTGTGGATTATAAGCTTGTTGGTGGTGTATTGCGGTGTGCTCTTTGAATTGGTGCTTTGGAAAAATGATGTTAGACTTCTGAAGCCAAGACGAAAGCAGCATGCGGTGTGGAGAGGCGTTACCAAATTGGGTCGTCAGAGCGTGTCTAAGTTGTAAATATTGATAAACGGCAGTTTGAGCCAATTTTGTCTTCAATTTCACATTTATCTATTCGAGTTTGTCTGTAAGCTCAGCTATTAACGGTAACATTAAATGTCATTAAAATGTAGTGATCTCTTTTTCTAGGGAAAACCCTTCGTCAGTCAACTTTTAGCCACGCAAATCAAGACTGCTGCTTGCTTGAAGGCCGGCGGCAGAATTTGTTAAGAGACACCGTGAAGGAAATTCTGCAGTTCTTAGCTATGGTGTTTACAGATTTGGAGGACAATGTGTAAGTGAAAAGCTTTAAAACTAATATTACTGATACTTTAAGGATTCTCTTATATACTGTACATATGCCAACCCTCAACGGCACTGGTGTTCTCAAAAGGTTGGTGGGAAAAAGGGCTACTTGTCCCAGGTCACACAAGGGATCCTGTTGCTGCTGGAAACTCACCAAAGATAGAATTGCTAAGACAACAAAGAAACAACTTACGTGCTTTACATACTCCAGGGCAGTGTGAGTTCACAGATAGTCAGAACAAATTGCAGACAGTGACCAGAGTCAGCAGGCTGATGGTCAGAACAGGTACAAACAGATACTAAGCAAAGTCCAGGTTCCAGATAGGTAAACAAAGCAATGACTGGCATTAGCAGAGGTAACCGGCCAATGATCAGGATAAGCACAGGTAAGTTGACTACAAACGTATTCCAGACAATTCATAGGAAAACTGTAAGCACGAGAAGTAGCAGTGCAAAAGCAAACAGACTAACCTATTGATCAAGTAATAATTCCAAAAGATGTCACCAGCACTCCAAAAGTATAATCAAAAACTTTTAATGACAACGGTCATTCAAAATCACAAGTACTTTCGGGGCCACGTAGGGTCCCCGTCATCAGGCTCAGTTTATATAGCGCCAACAGTTTGTGCAGCGCTTTACAATACAATTCAAGACAAGATGGTAAGGAGGGCCCTGCCCCTGAGGGCTTACATTCTTAAAAGGAGGGGCAAGTGATACATGAGGAGGTAGCTGTGTGGGGATGAATTGTTTGAGAAAGTGATAGTTTAGTGGTTAGGTTGAGGTGAGATAGGCTTCTCTAGAGATGAGTCTTAAGGGATCGCCTAAAGGCAGTCAGAGTGGGAGATAGACTGACAGGTTGGGGTAGAGATCCACAGGATGGGAGAGACTCCTGAAAAGTCCTGGAGGCAAGCATGGGAGTAGTTGACGAAGGAGCTGGAAAGCAGGAGGTCTTTGGAAGAGCGGACGGTTAGACCCCGTTCACATTGAGCGATTTATCGCGCGGTAATTCCCGCGATATCGCGGCAAATTACCGCGCGATATCGCGCTCCAATGCATTTCAATGGGGCAAAGGGTCCTGCTGTCGCGGGTCGTGTGTCTGAGGATGTCGTTGGTGACGAAACGCTTAGGAGCGGGTCTATCATACCAAACCTGACAGTTGTTGGACCGGTCGGACTTGTTTTATTGTAACTGAAATTTTAAACTTACAAATAAACTACCCGTAGAAATGGCTACACTATGAAGGATTTTCTTTCTTTGCATGAGTGAGCGAACATTCTTTACTTTGGAGATCGACGGCATAGAAGGGCCGGCAAAGACACCGGACTAATCTACTCTGGTAAACATAACGTGTGGGGCTGTCTGTTACAGCCGGAAACCTGTGGTGAGTACGCACTTTGAGGGGATATGTATTGACAACAATGCACTCCCCAAAATAAGTACTGTGTATATCACTGAACACTTGGAAAGTTCTTTTTTTGATAAAATATTTTATTGGTTTACATATTAAGGCACAACGGTGCACGCTATTTGTGTCCAATGAGGACACCAGGCATAGCAATGCATACAATAATACAGCATACAGCCATGCTTAAGGTCTATATAGAAAATTAACAAAAATTAACAATAACAATAACAACCATTCCTACAGGTCAGAAGTAAATGCCCCCCTCGGGAAGCTTCCAATTACAGGTGGGGGAAAAAACGAAGTTCCCTACAGAGCTTACCTGGCCAAAACCATCCGCTCATGTATTTAGTAGCTAGGGACTCGGTCACCTCCTGTTTATTGTAGTAGAACATCTCTTGCAGTGTGGCCTCCGGCCTCTCCTGGGCTAACCAAATGACTCTAGCTCCAGTTTTATCCTAGAATCCCCATAAGGGCATTATGTCCCCCTCAAACTTTTGCTGCACAGTCTACCGCTGAGTTCGTGCTCTCCAACCAACTACCCCATACTTTATGGAATTTATTAGGGCTTCCCCTGTGGGCATATGTGTCTTGGTACAAAGGAAGGTTATCATTTACCAACTTCTTCCAGAAGGACAGGTCCGGCGGGGCCGGCTTCTTCCAGTTCATGGCTATAGCCTTGCGGGCATAGAACAGGGTCAAACCTATCAGCGTGCGTTCAGATCTGGTCGGAGCTACGTCCTCCACCAGGCCCAGAAGACACACCCTGGGTGATAGTGGCAGTGACAAGGAAGTGACCCCAGAAATAAAGTCCACTATAGAGCCCCAGTAGGAGGAAATGAGGGGGCACTCCCAGAAAACGTGGAAGAAGTTCCCCTCCCGACATGTGCATCTCCAGCAGGCCGGAGAGATGGCTGTGTTCATTTTATTTAGACGGTGGGGCGTGTAATAGGCTCTATGAAGAATTTTGAATTGTACCATCCTATCCCTTATTGCTACCAATTGCTTAAACGGTTCGTCCCAAATGTCCTCCCAGTCTTGGAAAGTTCTTTAGTCACTTTCACTTGGAACGGAACTGAAACATCACAGAGACTTTTTCGTTGTTAAAAAATCTTTTTATTTCACAGAGACAAATTACCATACAGATCCCACTTTTGGTCATTTTTTTTCTTATCTAAACTTATTTCACAGAGAAACATCACCGAATAGAGTATATGAAACACTCAATTTATTTTTTGATCACTTGCTTCAGTCACGTATGATACGATTAATAGCACCATTCATCCTTTGTAATGGTTTGTGCAGAGGGTTTTTGACACTAATTAATATAACTTGATATAATATAGCATTTTGGTTGCTTGTAAGAATAGTTGTTATATGTTTATATTTACACTGATTAAGTAATATTCACAAATTGAACATCTAGCGCTGTATATTTAGTCAATATTCATCTATTAGACCCTAAGGGTCTATATTACAGCAGCTTTCGATCAACATTATTTAAGTAGTTTTAGTAGATTGGAGTCACCTATTTTTCACCCTTCACTGATTTAATCCCCGGACCGGGTCTTCTATCGACTATGGATCTCAACTGCGGTGTCTGGGTACGGGTATCAGAGTAACAGCTGCCCTCACGTGGCCCGTTTTTGTAGGAGGCTGAGAGGGAGCTGATTCACATCATTTCCCCGCAGGGGTTAAGGGAGCCGAGTAGACACAGATATACCTGGTTAATCACAGCAGTGGGTATAACTAGTATGAGGTAAACAGTATGGCAATGGTCTGGTTGCATGAGATGAGCAGTACTGCAATGGTTAAGTTTAGCATGAGATGAGAAACATAGCAGTGGCTAATCGGTATGAGATGAGCAGTACAGCATTTGTATAACTAGCGATACAGCATTTGGCTAGATCACCATGAGATGAGCAGTAT